AGCCCTGCCCAAAACAGCACATTGGTTTCTACACTGATTACCTTTACCTTGGATTCTTAAGAAGCCTGCAGACAACAAATAGAATAAATGTTTCGCTAATACTGAAGTGGATTGAATTGTTGGAGCAGTAATTGACTTGCATTTTTCCACTTTGATTTACTATCCTCAATCTCCATTACTCAGCCCAGCCTTGATCCTGACGATGAGCCTGAGGAACACAGGACAGGAGGGAAGCTCTTGAACCTAAAATGCATTTTCTCATCTTTGCAAGACAATGATAAATTTTAGACCAAATTCAATTTGAGAAGTAGTCAGATTATTATTTCCTTTTCCCACAGCATATATACAGTTATGTGTAAGCTGATAGAAGTCGACTTTAAATATCAGGCTTTCTTTTTTGACTATTTTGTATCCATGTGTTTCATCAACTTTGTTTTGTACCTTACGCTCCCTGCTCTGAGCATGTATTTGTATAGTAAGCATGGCCTAACAAAAACATGGATAGCAAGAAGATAAACACACCAAGCTCTCACATCAACAAACCAACCAACCACCTCTTCATCCACAGAGCATCTAATCTTTGTGCAGATACTGAAAAATTATCACAGGGAATTAGGGAGGAGGTTGTTTTGTGACCTTCGAAGTTGAGTGCTACTAGGAAGAAATGCTGATATATAAAGTGGCTTAAAATAAAAAATACTAAGTGTAGGCCTTCTAACAAGCACATTAATACCTTCTGCATCCCTCCTCTCCTTTGTGTCGGATATTGTCAGATTGTTGGTGACAATCTAGTAGCATGTTTGAGTAAGCTTTCCTTTTTTCCTAAAACTCAATTTTTCCTAAAAAAAAAACAACCAAAAAACCAACAACCAAAAACCCAAACAACAACAAAAAAAAAAACACCCAACCAACCAAAAAAAAACCCATCAAACCAAAAACCCCCAAACCCAAGAAAACAAAACAAGAAAAACCCCAACACTAAAAACCGAAGCCCTGTAACAAACCAATTTGTTTTCCTCTTCCATCCATCTAGAAGTATCCATCACTGACTGTGTTCCAAAGTAAAGACTGCAGCTACTACACCAGATCCATAAAATCTTCTCTTTAATACTTCAGTAAACATCCCTTTGTTTCCTGCCTTGGCATTCAGGGAAAAGAGAAAGGCTGTTGGGTAAAGGTGAATTTTATTGCAGTGACAGCCACATGAAAAGGCCATCAAAAGACACATTTCCAACCAAACACTTATCTGTGCAGACTAGCAGTTTTGAAATTACAACAACAAATACATTTTTACCCCTTCATACATTTGGTTTCTCAGCTTGTGGATGGTAACTGTTATGTGCGAGGCTCCTAAGGAAGATATTTTCATAGTACCAATAGAACTAGCAGGTAGCTGAAGTATTGGTGCACTGGGTGAAGCCAGGGTGTAAGCCAAATGAAGCACAGGTGCTTAAGCTGCCTTCAAAGCCACTTAGTACAAACTAAGGGAGTTTTTAACTATTCCTCCACAATTTCAGAATATATAACCTGTTATCAAAGCCAAAGGATGGAGGGTGATAGCCAAAGGAACATTTAAATTTAGAAAATAAGCTAACCACATATTCTCTCAATTATAGTTTGGCAAAGGAGGGTCACAAAAAAAACAAAGGAACTCTACTCTTCCAGGTATCACTTCTAACATGGGTTCCCTTTGGCCATCCTGACCTCTAAATCCAACTGGCTGTAGCTACTCGACTGCCTGACAAGCTCTGGTCTTCCAGTCTTTCAACTGGGGCACATTTTGCTTGCACAGATGAGTCTCCTTCTGGGTAAAGGGTACAGAAAAGGTGTATAACCCATCTTTAAGTCAGCATAGGTAGTAAAAAAAAAAATCAGCCACGGTGCAGACGCAGGTCTGGGAACTCTGAATCACTCCCATTTTGGGGTTTCAATTAATAAATAGTCTGCATAGTGACAGTAGAGTCTCTTTTGTTTTTCTTTCTAATTATACCCTCCTTAGGCTTGGGCTGAAGGCAGGCTGATAGAGGAGTAAAAATTGGTCCTAAGCTTCTATACTCTTTGGGCAGGGGTTACATTTCCTGGGAAACATCCAAACAAATATGGCACTGTAAAGAAAACAAACAGTCAAAAGAACCAGGAAGCAAATTCAGCACAGTGCTCTTCCAAAGGAGAGCACCACAATATATCAAGAAGCAGCATTACTGGTTAAATCTTCAAATTGCTTTTTGAAAGCAGATCACAGCTACAGTGCTGTACATTACAAATGCAAATATATGACATATAAAAAGTTTTCTATGCAAAATAATCCTGCTTCCAGTCCACATTTTTCTATGCCATTTACTGCAAGCGTATATTAAACTTTGATACATTTGCTTACAGACAGTTTATTGCCACAAAGGTAAGTTCTGGCAATCTTAGCAACAGAACACAGTTTAGTAGCAGTTAATAAAATACTTTTACAGTAATTAAGATCTTAAACTTCCATTATAAGGAAAAAAACCCAAACAAAACCAGTGATGCAAGTTGTCCACTACATTCAGAAGTACAATACTTGAGTTTTACTAAAAACCAGTGAGCATGCAACTCAGACTTGAAAGAAGTTAATAAGGAACTGGTATTTAATACAGCCAAGTATATATGTCACTTGCATATTTATTCACAGCTTAACAGCATTAAATAATCTACAGTTCTGAAATATGTGCATTTTAAAAGGAATTTGTCACAGCTCCTCAGTGATAGCCAAGCAGACATCATGCAGAAGAGACTAAATCACATCAGCTGCAAACTGCATTTGAATTAAGACAAAGTTGTACCCTTTCACTTATGTGCTTCCATTGTTAAAAATCACAGCAGGAGAATGACTTGCACTTATTTTCATGCATGATTCAAATCTCTCCTGTTGCCTTGTTTTGGCATTCTTTTGAGTGATGTTAACCAAATTCAGCTGTGAATAAGTAGTTAGAATTCAGCATCCCAGACTGACAGCAAATTGTGAATGTTGAAGATATGGTAATTATTTCAAAAGTCTAAACTTAGCCTCACGTTTGCTATCTACATTTCCACGCTACAGACACCCAAGAGTCTTATCCCCTCTCTACTATTTATCAGTTTTGTGAGCTGAAAGTCCACAGAGAACGTTTTCACCAGTAGCACAAACCATAATGACTGGTTAAAACACACACTGGATGGGGGAAGAGAAGGAAAACCAAAGACACATACAACACCCCACCCCCCCAAAAAAAGCCCAAACAAAAAATACTGCTTAAGACTGTGGAAAGGAATTAAAATATCTAAATAAAGCCTGTAGGCTTTGATGACTGTGTACTGAAATATATACAAGGAAAAACTTAAACCAAAAGCACAGTCACTGCAGTTTATTTGCAACATGTGCTGCCTTTCTGCTTATGTCCAAATTAATCTCAGCCATGAATAAGGCAATATTAAAGGAATGAACATCATTTCCTGAGGGCCTCAACTAAGATAAATAAAAAAGGAAGAATACTATTTAGTATTGGTATGTATACCAGGGAGTGATTTTGTGTAAAACAGCACAGAGAGCATGAAAATTTGAGTGAAAAAGATAGAAAGACTGGTTGGAAGGTAAACAGGGTTTAAAAACATTTGTCTGCATTTTAATAACTTACAAATAAATTAAGATGATGAAAGGCATCAAGGACTATATAAAGGGGAAAAGAAGACTGAGGCTAAAAAATAAAAAATAAAAAAAAAAAGCTGCTATGTTGGTAATAAAAGTAGCAATTCTATGGCAGAGATTAATTGGAAGAAAACCAGAACATTCTGTTGAACAACCTGGAACAGAGATTCTCTCATCTGTGCAGAAGACTTGTGCAAATGACGTGTGCAAACACAGAGAAGTGAGAGAAGGGTATAACATCTTCAGCCATTAGAACATTTAAAAGATGCATCTACTGACAAAAGCTCCATCCATTTCTCTCAGAAGTTACTGTTAGGAGTCTCACCTACAGACTCAGATTCCTCCTTTCGTGTCTTCAGGATGATTAACTCAGTATGAGTTTAGCCTTTTCACGTAAGTACAGAGGTCACTACAGTAATTGAACTTCCTGCTCTCGAACACAAACTTCCAACCCCTGGTTAAAAAGCCATAGCTTAAGCTTTTTCTCTGAAAGTTTCAGCTCACTTATGACCTCTGATTCTTGGATTCCTATCCCAAGACTTCCACTGATGCCATTAATCTCTACTACTGTGCCATGCCCCAGATGTGCCAAGCATTGTATTTCATATAGTTTTAGGCACCCTCTACATTTTGTGGACTGTTGCCTTCATATTTTCAATCCAGCTGCTGCAAAAAACCCAACAAAACAACACACAAACAAACCCCAGCAAACAAAAAACCCCAAACCCAAAACAAAATCCCCACCACAAACACACACAAAAAATCCCCTCACAGGACTAAAAATTCAGTCATGTTAAAGCAGAAAATACCACTTCTGTTTCTTAATGGACTTACATTTTGTAAGCATCACCAGAGAGGAAATACCAATTTTAATTTCTTCAACGTGCAGAGAATAACACTAACCATATAGATTAGCTGAAAAAAAGCTGTAAAAACGTATGTGAAACTGTAAACACTTTAAAATGCCTTAAGTCTAGTTCTGGTTATTCCAGTTACTATGTTAGATCAAGTTTCTAAATCAGTATCAAGAGCCATCATAGGTTTGTCAAATTCTGTTTCCAAGCAATTTGCAATTAATTTGTCACGTCTCATTATACTTCTGATCATCAGCTTTAACATTTACAACAGGACTAGTTCGCTGCTATATCAGAGCACAATATAGGACAGTCTTTCACAGCTAGTAAGGGCTTCTTTCTTAGAAGACCCTAAAAAGCCAAAAGTAATACAGAGAAATAAAAACCTGTAATTCAATGCTACAACACCAACAGGTTGTTCTTCTATATAAAGATTTCTTTTTTCTTTTCCAACTGTGGAATGTGTTTAAAGGTTCAGCATTTTCACTGTCTCATCGAAGTCCTGACCAGCTGTGGAGGTATGAAGCCCATCCAGAGGTCCGTGAGCCACTCTCTTCCTCACCTGAAGGAAAAGGAGAAACATACTTTAAACTAAGTTTATTATGTTAGACATTACATCATTTGGTTGCATGACCTTGTTTCCCCTGCTGCTTCTGTCCTTTTTTAAATGCTGTTCTCTTAAACTTGTTGAAGAGGTAACATTCAATACTTACTCTTAGACACCATAAATATATTCGTAGATTTTACCACCAAGTCCACTTTACTTTGGGTACTTAACGATGTTTTAGAGGCCATTTATCACCTTTCTCCAGAAAAATCCAGTAAGTGCTCATTAGAGTGCCAGAATCATGGAATGCAGTACTTTGCCACTTCCCTTATTAATGTGATTTTGTTCACAAGTGCTTATATATACATCTGGTACTTACTCTTTATATTAATAAAGTATACCTCAGTTGTTAATGAAGTACACAAAGCTACAGGTTGTTACTGAGAGGTGACAAACAATTCCTTAAAAAGTGTTTTAAAGGCGACAAATGCTCAAACTATTTGAAGCAGAGCCAGAACTTTTTTATATGGTTAGCTCTTTGGTTTATTTCTTGCGAAGGCTGAACTCTTTCGTTCCTTCCCTAGCTCCTTTATTTCTTAAACAAAAAGCATATTTTCTTGAAGGATTTTTGAAGTTACTATATAGAAACTAATATTGTATCTGCAGTACTGCCCCAAGAGAACCCCTTTAATTATCTGTTTAGAACATCTGCCAAGAAAGTAATCAGTATTAACCTCTATTTTAAGTTCACTTTAACAAAACTGTTGAAATCTACTCAAAACATGAACACGTTACATTTTTACAACTTACTATCGTCTTCCTAAAATGATTATGTTTCAGAAGAAATTATATTTACTTCAATTTATACTTTTGCGTACTTGTTCTATTTTCTGAAAACTGAATAGTAACTTCCCAACAGAGCAAAGTGGTTGTATTGCTAGCTCACTGGCATTACGTTGCTAAGTTTTGTTTTCCCTCCAAGGACTATGTAAAAGAAAGCCTAGAACTTCAGTTGCCTTTATTTCCACTTCTTGTTTTGCAACTGTGTTTTGAACACCACCTACCTTGGGCAATTGCAACTAGCTTCCCCTTCTCTTCAGGGCTGAGCTGCAACATGGTGTCTATTACTGGGAGCAGCCTTTCCTTCTCACTTCCTGATTTTAGGAATATGAACTGCAGTAGAACATTCTTCAAGTATTCTAGATTAGCCACAGACTTTTCTCTCTCTTGATTTCTTTCCAATCTTCTTATTTCATTCTTAAGAAGCTGCAGATGAGGAGGGAAAAAATATGCAATATTGTTTGCTTCATATAATGAGCAATTGAACAAAGCTCTTTTGAAAAGCTAAAAAGCAAATTATGCAGCTTGCTTCTAAAAGAACAATGTGCGCATAGCAACACATTCTGGACAAAAATCCAGTCAAAATTGAATACATGATAATGTTGTCCAGAAATATATTTTTATTGATCAAAATTAATAAATTTTACTAAAATCTATGCAGTAGTTGTAACACTATTATACAATAAATTAAATATTTTATATTTGATAACATGATACTGTATTATTAATATGATTGTACTAATTATTCAATTTCAGTGATAAATAGTTGAACATTCAAGTTAGCTGTGTGGATCAAAGATTTGACAATATTATCATACATCAAAAAACATTTTACAGAAGAAAGCTTAGCATGTTTAGGGAATATTTTCATGTCAAAAATGCTTCCAGAAAACTCAGGGAGGTACAATCAAATCAAACCAAACTCTATTAGTACATGTATCTTTTTTTATCTGAAGACAGCTAAAAGGGGTTACAGGAAGAGAAACCAGACAATACTTCCCATGGGATTTACTGCCCATATCAATGTGAAAACAGTCAGGGCACTTTACTAACCATTAAACTTCCAAACTCTTGAGGTTATTTTTTCATAGCAGCTTGTACTCCTCACCCCCTCCCCCCATCCTCCACTGCCTAGAAACTGGGAGAGGGGGGAAGGAAGCGGGGAGTGTAACAAAACCCAACAAGCTGAAGTCAACTCTTGAAGCCCCAATTAGTTCCGTGGAATAAAGCCCTTCCAAAATTAAGTTTTGCATCACCAAATTTTTGTAGACTGGGATTTTCTAAACATACTTGGTGTTAAACATTTGTGCTAAGAAACAGACCAGAGAAATTAGAGCTGTCCCCACATTTCCTGCATGCCTGCTAACCTTTATTTGTTCCATCAGGATTGCATTGGTTGCTTCTGATTCACGAAGTAATTCATTCAAGTGATCAGCACTCTTCGCTGTTGTGTTAAGTTTTTGAATCAGTTCATCCTTGGTGAGTTCTGTTTGCCACTGAGGTGGCTCTGCAATTAATTGGAAAAGAAAACTGAGAGAAGGAGAAAGCATTTCCATCTACTTATCGTTAGGACTTGATTAACGTAGTTTCTTAGGAACAAAATCCATGCAAAGTCAAACTGCAAAATTAGCAGGCATCACTGTTGCTGCATGCTTGTTTTGTGATCTATTTTTGTATACGTATTAGAAGGGGAATGGCAAATCAGTTCTAAGTACGTCAAGATACATGGTTTTAATTTACTCTTTGTTTCCTATCCATAGATGGAGATTCTCAACAGTTCTGCACAACATGTTCAGCAGACTCTTAGCACACAATTAGATGCTACCATGTATTTTTCTATTTTTTGTGGACTCTTAGAACACTGTCTTCATGCTGGCTAGAAAAAAAACTACAAAAAACATCCTGTTCTAATAACCCACATTAAGACAAACAGACATTTTATCTTCTCATTAAAAAGCACTTAATTAAATCAGCACTTAATAGTCATTAGTAGACTAGCCCAGAATACAGAAGGTTCTGTAACTATTCACTGACTTGCTCATTCACTCATTCCCTTTAGAAAGTCACAAATCTTTATGTCACAAATGACATCTTTAAGTCACTAAAACCTGCAGCAATGTTTTACTGTTAGTCCTTACTCAAGGACAAAACTACAGAAATTCAGGATACTGTAAACTCAGTGGCACTGAAGTAGACTTGTGTCTTGCAGCCAACTTTCTCAGATATTTTGAGGACAGAAACTTCTGCAACTGATGTGGGCAAGTGCTTCAAAAAGCCGCATATTCTACCTACCAGGTTTTGCTTCTGGGGAGTTCAGAAGTTGTTCCAAGGATGGTATATAAGTGCTGGCTGAAGAGACAGACTCTGTGTCCGTTGTTTCCATACCTTCTCCCTCTTCCCTAGCTACAGTGTATACATCAAGAAGAGGAAGGTCAGTGTTTCGCCCTTCTCTCAAGGTCTTCGTCGCTGGGTTTGAAACAGCCGGACCTGAAAAATACTTACTGATGTTTGTCATCAGAATGAAACTGGCAGGGCTATTTCACAGGTGTGACTGTCTCACATTGGAAAGCAGTATATATAGTAGTCTTCAAAATGCAGGGGGAGGAAAAGTGAAGAAAAGGGAGAAAGCCAGATACACACATAACATTTATAATAGAAAATATAGCCTTTCACCTCCAAATGACCATTCCAACTAAAGCATATTTCTAAATCCAAACTCGATTGGCAATATTTATTTCAGTGATTATGAAACCTTCATGGAACTCTCCCTGAAGATGTGCTGTAGCTGTGAGTGTCAAATGTTTTTAACGCAAAACAGAATTAGCTTTTTTTTAACCAGTCTTGTGGGAGGTGTAAATTGTTCTAACACTGCGTGCACTGCCCTGCTGTTTCAGTAACATGGGAAGAGTAATTTCTTAAACTGTTCCTTCTGCTTGGCAGATGTCCAACTACATCCTAACTAGTAACTTTACGGATATAAAAATAGCACTTGAGTTTGAACACAGTAAAATCTTACATTAGAGGATGGATCAAATAACAAGTATACCAGTTACAAACATTGTTAAAACAGCTTTCAATACACTCTTCTCTAGCTTTATCCCTCATAGCTGAGGTAAAATGATAGGAAGGGCAGGGAACATTTACAAAGTAATTTCCCTCCATCTGTCTGACAATGCCAATACTGCAGAAGAGGTAACAGTGATGCAGATTCTACAATAGAACAGAATCGTTTCAGTTAGAAGAGACCTACTATGATCATCTAGTCTAACTGCCTGACCAACTCAGGGCTGACCAAAAGTTAAAAGCACGTTGTTAAGGGCATTGTCTAAATGCCTCTTAAACACTGACAGACTGGGGAAATCGACCACCTCTCTAGGAAGCCAGTTGCACAGTTTGACCACCCTCTTGGCAAAGAAATGCTTCTTCACGTCTAGTCTGAACCTTGCCTGGCGCAGCTTGGAACCATTCCCACGCATCCTGCCACTGTATACTGCTAAGGAGAGCTCAGCAACTCCCTCTGTGCTTCTGCTCCTCAGAAAGCTGTGGAGAACAGGGAGGTCACCTCTCAGCCTCCTTTCTCCAAACTAGACAAACCCAGAATCCCCAGCTGCTCCTCATAGCACATTCCTTCCAGCCGTTTCACCATAATGACTTTTTCTGGATGCATTCAAGTATCTTAAGATTCTGAAGGGACAGTAATAACAAAGACTCAATTCCTTATCTGGTATCAGTGAATTGATACAGCATTCTGCAGATTCTCCAAAAAAGGTTTCTGGTATGTTACAGAACCACACGTTATAAGCATGTTTTAGATTCAGACTCAGGTACACAAATCTGCGTCTAACCCAAGATGATGACTGAAAGTTACCTCTAGTGCTTGGTTCACTCTTGAGTTGGAAGAGCTGAGATTCTACTCTGGACAGTTGCTGCTGAAGTGTCTCTACTGTCTTCCTGTGCTCTTCTTGCAGGTTCCTGACTTGATCTCTGAAATTGTTCCGGAGAGCTTCATTCTGGGCTGTCAGCTGACTCAAAGTCTGGGCATGCTCTGTTTTCATGACCATGTTCTCAGACTGTATTGTGCAGAGCCTGAAAGCAGCATGTACAAAACCCGTAAGACTGACAGCAAAACACTATCATTTTTACATCTCAAAAATGTTAAAGTAGCTTTCAATTTTCATATATATGATTACTTCAGAATGACTGTGAAGCTTTTTCCCATTTAAATTCCTCTTTTTACAGGGAAAATCTAAGACTGAAAAAGTTACAGTTACTACACAGCACATAAATGCACTGTGCTATATAAACTCTTGATTTCTATTTCAAAACAAAATTCAGACATCTTTGGGAAAAAATGAAAGCATCAGACATTGTGGTTTAAACATTCTTAAACTGCAACATGACTGTTTAAAGTGTCATACAGGGGATGTCCCTTATCTTATACTCCACTTCCTTTAACATATATTTACCAAACACTTACGCAGGACTTCTGAAAACATAAGTCTCTAAGAAGCTAAGTTTAATCTTTTTTAAGGTTCAACGTTCAGCACGCAAGAGGGTAGAAGAGTGTAGCTGTCAGCAAGGAAAACGTCAGTAACACATAAGTTGTACATGGTTTGGACATCCTCCAGAAGCAAGACAAAATTGTCACAAGCGATTAAACAAGTGCATGTATGGAAAGACTAAGCACAGGCCTTGCCCTTATAAGCATACAAACTTAAATATAGCCAGAGTAGCAAAGAGCTTGTCTCTCTGGGTACAAAGGGAACCTACTATAATAGGGGTTGTTTCCAGAAAAATGCAGAAGAACATAATTTAGTTATTTACTAAATCAACTGAATGCAGAAGGACATAATTTAGTTGATGAATCATCATGTGGCTATCAGGAACAGATAAAGCAGTGCAAAGATAGTGATGAAAAGTCAACAGTTCCTAACACTAAGCTGCAATTTCTAATGAGTATTTCACATCAACTTCTTTGTACACTAAATTGAGAAGACAAGACAATGAAAGACCCCTTTTGAAGAGCTCAAGTATTAGGTACTCAAGTGATTTTTCAAGAAGTGATACAAATTAAAAAGATTCATTTAATTTTGAAAAATTTGCAAATTAAGATTGTAGCAGCAAGCATAGACTCAAACCCCAGCACTTTCTGTAAGAAAGGCACTGCGCGGACACAGGACTGACTGGGTATTTTGTCCGTGAAATCCTTTGCTCTGCATTTAACTACCTTATTTTTGTAATAGAAACATGCATATTTATTTGAGTAGTCCAACATGCATGCACAGTGCTGAGCACTGAACTTAGGAACAATCAACATGCTTAATAATGATATTTTTTAAATCTAATAGTTAACATGTAAAAAGCTTGCAGAAATCTCAAATTCTCTGATCAGCTACTACTTCATTTTCATTGCTGAAACTTTTGAAGGCTTTTAAAAACTCCTTTAACTTTCTTAATAATCATGACCTTTCTTTTGGAAGTACAGTTATAGGCCACTACATGCCCAGTCCTTAAAGTTCACACAAAATAGCATATCTATATTCATCATCAGACCATACTTTTCACGGAGTTCTGCCTCTTTTGCAACAGTCTCTTGCAGCATCTTATTGTGTCTTTCCAGCAGGGTGTCGTGTTCAGACTGCAACACCTCGAGTTCAGATGCATTCAGCTGTGAACTATGCTGAGCATCTTGCAGCTTAACTTTAAGTTGCTCTATCACCATTTCCAATTGCTCTCTACAAGAGAAAAAAAAAAAAAAAAGAAATAAGCAACATACATTTAAAAAGAATGGTATTAATTCAGAACCTATATCGGCAACATTTTGGATAGTTGATCCAAACTGCTTATTTATTCAGTAAATCAATACAGCACTGTAACCAAAATAATCTTAGAATGTGAACGCTGCAGAAACAACTAGAAAAGTTCTGATCCTGTTTCAATGTAGTTACAAATAGGTTTATCACATCCCAACTGAACTGCTGGGAATGTAACTATAGGTTAGAAAGTGAGACTGATACCACTTTCTGCTTCAAGCTGGTTTGAAGGAACAAGACATAAGGAGAATAACATGTGGGATGCAGATGAGAAACAATTTCTGCTTAAAAGTGGTGGAAGTTTTTTTGTTTAGTAAGTGCACATCAGTGACACTGAATACAGGAGACAAATGTCTTGAGTAAATTTTGTGCAAAGGACTGGAAAGCAACATCAATAAATAAAAACAGATAAACTGTCAAAAATAAATCAAAATCAGATCTACTGGGAGGAAAGTCTTAAATCACACACATTCGCCTTTTATGCTTTCTGTATTCATATACACAGACATCTCCATTATCTTATAAACTGTGTATCTCATTAATCCTATGTGTAAATAATTTCCTTGCAAACTATGTCATCTCTTTATTGCTTGATCACTTGCTCACTTTTTCCCCAAGGTGACCCTCTTTCACAAAAACCTGGCACTACCACAACTTTTCAAAATTCCACAAAAAGGAGATACAAAGAAATGCAACTCTTGCAGCTTATTTTCATCAAAAGAAAGGAAGAGGTAAATGTAGCTACAAAACCCCAAAACAAATCATAAGCCCAGTCCTCTAAGAAAGCACAAGTCTCCCTCTGGTGGATTTTCAGCCGTAATTGCATGTACTGTATTAAGACCTGGGTCAGAAATTAATTCTGACATCTCACACATAAACGCCCAGTCTGTCACCAAAGACAGCTATCAATAACTATAAAACAAAGCCTTACAGGAAGTGATCTATTTCCGCAGAGGGTTCAGGCATTTTCTGAAGTGAATCTGAATGTACCTGGCTTACAACCACACTTAAATCATTTAATCATGTGCAGGGGACATCAGGCAGTGTAGCACCACACCCCCCCACCTCAGCCCGAGTCTTTCCTCATATAACAGCTGATAAGACAACAGTATTACATAAATCTGCTTGAGCTGATGACTACATCAGCACCCAAAGCTTTACCCACACTGAACAGTTCTGCTCTTTTCTTCCCAGTTGGAAGCGGCACTTTGCAACAATACTTTATGTCAGAGAAAATGATGTATCAAGCCTACACAGAATATGCTGGCCAGTTTCTGCCAGAAAATTTGTAAGAACCTTCCTAACACCTTACTTCTCCCTCTGACTGTAACAAAAGGTAATCTACATAAAAATAACTGCTAAAACCAGACAAATCAAGGAATTAGAAACTAGCGATACCACCATGGTACAAATTGATGATCTTTTTTGTGTTCAGATAGGCAGAGCAACAGTTAGATTACAGACCAATGTACAGAAATAAAGAGCTTTCTCAAAAAAACCAAACAGAACAAAAAAACCCAAACCCACCAAAAAACCCAACACACTCCAAACAAACAAAACAAATCAAACAAAAAACCAAGCAAAAAAAAAAATGCCCCATAAACAAACCCCAAAACCACAAAGTAACGGGCGAAGCAACCTGACTTCCTTCTGATATTCTCCTTATTGAAGTGTGGAACTCCTTTGTTGGTCAGCAATTAGTGAAGGCAAGCTCAATAAATTAAGCATCAGTATTTTTCTGTGTGCATATAAAAATTTTGGTTTTACCTTTCTTTTTTGGCTCCCTCGGATTCTGTCTGAGAAGCAGATTTATTCTTTTGCTGCTTTAGAACATTATGAACACGGACTTTGTAGCTCTCGAATTCAGATGTAACAGATGCTTGTTCAGCCTATCACATAGAAAACAAACCCTTCAGAAGTTATGCTATTAACTACTGCTCCCTTATTTATCTAAAATGAAATACATCTTACACTGAACCTCCCTCCCCACCCCCAAATTAAGAACCACCTGTTGCATTTTCTTCTTTTAAATGGATAATTACTCCCACTAGAGTACCTGGGCTGCACTGCACTCTTCTTGCAAGGTTGCAATTTTTTGCTGGTAGGCACTCAGTGCACGCTGGTGTTGCTCCGAAGAAGTTCGCAGGAGTTCCTGAACTTTATGCTTTTCTGATGTTAGTTCAGCCACTTGAATCTGAAAAGAAGTCAGTTGAAAACTTCACTATGACAAATTTTTTTCTTCCTTCCCCAATGGATGTGCCACAGAGAACACAGGATTCTGTTACAGTAATTCCTGTGCAGAACTGGTGAGTAGAAAATTAAAATCCAATAAAAATAGAATAAAAAAAATAGACATGGGTTACCATGTACTTAACTAAAAAAGTCACATTGTTTAAAGAGATAATTGAAGATAAAATTACATTGGGGGGGTGGCAGCATTTAGAAAAGCCAAGCCCTCTCCCTTCACTTCCCTGCCACCTTTCATTACAGTCAATTACTATTCTGCCCAACCCACAAAATTTATACAGGTGGACAACACTTAAGATTTTTGCTGATAACATTGTGTTCCTCTGTTTTAAACTGAGCAACTTCTATTTTTAAAGAAACTATTTTAAACCACATCCCAACTACAAGCTTCAAACTACACAGTCCTCTATTTTGGTGGAAAGGGAAAGAACAAGAAAGGGTAAACCTGTTTAAAGAACATCACAGGGGAAATACTTGGAGAAAGCAGCAGTCAAAACTCATGTAAGAAAGAGCTGATAACCTAGTAGAGCCAGTAACCTTTTTATTCTTCAGCCTATATTCCATCCACCCAGTACAAACACACACCCTTATTACTTAAATAAGAAACCTTTTAATACAAAGAAGTGAAGTTTCTTGCCTTATAAGCTTCCACTTGTTGTTGACTGGCTTCCAGTTCCCCTTTTAAGGATGCCTGCAACACTAGATGGTCATTTTCCTGCATGATAAAATTATCTGGTTATTAAAACCCCCCAAATCTCAGCAACTTAATAAATTCAGCCTGGTTTTTTAAAGCTAGTTTAAAAATGGACTACACAATCATTAACATCTGGACTTACAGCTTGTTTTGAATCAGCCAGCTCTTTTTTGGTTTTCACCAGGAGTTGTTTTATCTTGGCATTTCTTTCCTCATCCTGCTGCATAGTTGACTGAAGTGACTCTAATGCAGAAAACACCAGTTACATGCAAAAGAAACTTTCCCTCCTGTATTTCCTTAAAAATATTAGAAAATATTTAACTAAATTCTGACATATTTCTGAAGAGCTGCAAACAAGTAGCTTACACTAAGTTTAGTATCCTATTCCCAAGTATCACAAAGATCTCCAAATAAATGAAACTGTTTTGACACTTACACTTAAGGATAGAAAGAAATGAATTTTTCAGCCACATACTAAAGTTCTATGTGCATGGTATGTCAGAATTAAACCCCCCGTCAGTCATCAACTTTCAGAACTGTGTTTACTACCTGATTCTATTATGAAGTTAATCAGACAGGCAATCTGGTTTTTATTTGAATACTAGATCAAGTGACTGATAACTTAGTAAAGTTTCCTTTATGGAAAAGTAATTTTGACCATGTAACTGTTCAGTATTACCTGCAAAACTTCCTCTCACTCATTGACTTGAGAAGCTGTTTCTGGATGCTACTATTTATCATTACTAACTATACCATAGTGATTCTTGCTGTTTATACATTACTCACTTATTTCTTCCTGTAGGGTCTCTTGCTTCTGTTTCTGAATCCCTGTCTCTTGCTCGAGATCTTCTATTTTGCTGTCTTTATCAGTAATCTTCTGATTAAGTTCTTTTACTAGCCTTTCATAATCAGCTATTTCCATATCCATCAGTGTACTTTTCTGAGCATCCTGCAAGTTACACATAATGAAGTTACAGCTTACTATCTGCCTTGGCTGCTAAGATATAGCTATCCATACCCACAAGCAACACCCATCCATCAGGTTTCCATATTCTCAGTAAATAATCTGTTTTCAAACAAGAACCAGAAGCTTGAAAAACCTGTTGCTAGTTTTAAGAGTTTTACTAGTAGGTATTCTGCAGATATTAGTTTCTACCATCTTCAGTCCTTACACAGGCAGTTTCCGATTAGTGCAACAGACAAGTAATCCAGACATCTGAATTCTATTCCTATTTCTACTAATGACAGGCCACATAACCCAAGCTAAAACAAACAAAAAAATTAAAACCCAACCAACCAACCAAAAATCCCCAAACCCAACACCTCAAAAAACCTCCCAACAAACCCAAAAGTACACATCAGGTTTCCAATGTAAAACTAGGGGTAAAAGCCTCATGTTTTCCCTTTTGCAAACCTTGCCTTTCAAATCCTTGGAACAGAAAGGGAGACATTCAACTCAGCAAGATGGGCCAAAAGCTTTGGTAGTCCATTAAACATTAACATGAACAGCAACTCTACCTTTCTGGCCAGCTCTAGTTCTTGCATAGTTTTCTGCAGATGTTTCTTTTCCTTCTGAAGTTGCATCTGAAGCTCCTCCATTTCTCGGAGAACACCACTATGTTCCTGAAATTTAAATCCTTCTCAGTTATGCCAGCCAATTTCAAAAGAGATGTCAGCATCTATTTATACTTACGTACACATGCTTAGGTTGGACAGAGATAATGACTTTTTCATTTGTTTTAGGAAATCACTGGGAACCAAAGAAAACCCCAAATTATGAAGTGCTTTTTCACGTTCTGTAACAAATCCCAGTTACTTACTCAAAGTCATAGCCTTGCAAAATTCTTTCAGTGAACAGACCAAGCCTTCAAAAAAGATCAAGTCAAATAACAAAAAGAGAAAGTACAGAATTTGTTCTATAAAAAATACAGTTTACAATGGTCTAACAGAAGACATATCCACTGAAAGCAATGCTTTAGCCCATGCACCATCTCTACAGAGTACTACCTTTGTTTTCTGTTCTTTAAGAAGCTTTTCAGTTTCTAGTTCTTTGTCAGCCTTTGCCTTGGCTTTTTGTATCTCCAGTATCTGACCTTCCAGCAGTTTAGCATTATGTTGCAGTGTTTCAACACGAGCCAGGAGGTCTTCGTTAGCGGAGCGTAAGTGATCATGCTGAAATAATCATAGTGGAAAGATAAAAATGTTATCTGTCAAAGTTGCATGCAAATTCAGCTAAGATATTGTCTATATTTAAAACACAAACCCTGATTTCTATGCAACTCCCTTACAAACAGCACTCCTGCGGATGAGTCTTGTCCACCTTAACTGGTTTAAAGCATACTAAGAAATAGGCTAAATTAAAGTCACTAGCACAATTTGACTACTTTGTTCAGAAACCAGCTTTCTGTAAGATGGCTAGAATTACAAGGAATTTGGGAGGGACAAAAAACAACCAACCCCCCCCCCCAAAAAAAAAACCAACCAAAAACCAAACCCAACATTTATGCTTTCTGCAAGAATCACCTTCCTCCCACAGTAATATGAAACATTCAGGTACTTATTGCCCCACTTCAAATACAGCTGCTGTATTTATAAATAAATGATATTCTAATTCCTAATATATAATTAGGAATTAATTCCTAAAAAATATTTAACTGCAGCATGACTATATCTTCAATGAGATCATACCATCATATAGTAAGAAATCCCCCTGTATCTGGGCTATTTTTGCAGTGACTTTAAAACATTTAATTTTGACATCCTCAGTGTTTTATCTCAGTCTCTATAATATACATTAAGAATGAAGTATAAGTGAAAGAAGCTGCTAATTACCTAACCAGTGTTTTTATTTACAACATACTTCATAAGAAACTTGAAAAATTCAAAGCCTGCATAATCAGCAAAATATATACTTACCATTTGTCATTTCTTCTTATGCTAATCACTACTAGCTTCCATTTATAAGGAAACTGTGGTCTAGGTGGATCTTCAGTGTAATTATGTATGGGGCCTGGGAGTTTAAATCCTAAATCCCATACTCATTGCAGTTAGCTTTGAAAAAATGTCTCACAGCTGCTTGATTAGTATCTTAGACTCTTGCAAATGCCACTATAGTACTCTACAATGCATCCTGAAGTCTCATCTTTGTGAAAGATGCAGAACCCCATGATTAATTTAGTATGTTTAAACACACTGTTGATTAAATAAGAAAAACACATTTTGTCTAAGAAACAGAAGAAAAAAAACCCAAAACCAATGTAGCAGTAAAAGATGACGTACTTCACGAGAAGTGTACATAGATGTGAAACCAGTGATAGAATGTAAGTTTGATACTTTTCTTTGTTTGTATCTGGTAGCAGCAGAGTTGTATGTCCAAACCAAGCCAGAGGTGATCACTTGGTCTTTTCTGTGAGTTGACCCGGAGTAAATTAAACCTTTCTATTGAAAAAGCCAGACATTCTAGATATATTTACCTTTGTCACAGCCCAGACAGAACACCAGATGTTGAAAAACTAAAACCAAACCAAACAACCCAAACCCTGAATTTCAAGTCACTATCCAAAACATACTTAAGATTACAAAACTATATATAGTAGCAATCACATACAGAACTGACCTGCTGGGATGACACCTGTAGCTGTCTTGTGAGGTCTTCTATCCGATGTTCAAGATTATTTGCTCTGCCTTTTTCAGAATCCAGCAGTTCTCCTTGCTTATCATATTCCACCAAAAGATTCTTAACGCATACAAACACAAACCCATCATTTTTTACAATATACATTGCATAAGCATATTCTATACCTCAGATGCTTACCTATCTTCCTAATATTTCAGCATATGAGTTGTCTTACTGCAACATCAGAATATCAGAATGAAATTAACGCTATTGTTCCATCATAGGCTCTGGAGAAACCTTTTTCAGTTAATGAAATTCTAAAATGATTCAGGTCAGAAAAGACCTCGGGAGGTCTACATTCAACTTCTTGCTTAAAGCAGGGTCAGCAGTGAGATCAAAACAGCTTGCTCAGAGCTCTCTCCAGTCAGGTCTTTCCTGCCTGGAAAGGACCTGCCTCCAAGGATGGAGATGGCACTACCTATCTGGGCAACACCTTCCCAAGCTCGACCATCCTTATAGGGCAAAAACATTTACCCATGTATCCAGTTGGAATCTCTCATTTCAATTTAGGACTACTGTCTCTCATCTTGCACCACCACTAATAACCTGACCCTATTCCTTTGGTAATGTCTTTGTAGGTACTGGAATGCTCCTATTAGGTCCCTTCTCAAGTCTTCTCTAAGCTGAGCAATTTCTCAGCCTTGTATATCGCTTATTCCAGTTCCTTGATCACCTTCTCCAGATCACTGCAGAAGTTAAACAGGACAGGTACCAGCACAGACCCCTTTGGTACCCCATTTACTACTGCCATCTAGTACAAGCTATTAAGTGCTACTCTCTGAGACAAACCATGCAACTGTTTTTTAAGCACTCATTCAGTTGTTTTCCCATTTAGATCATAAAGTCCTAGTGTGGATAAAAGAGTACTGTGAGAGAGGATCAAAAGCATTCCTGAAGTCAAGATAAGTGACAGGCCCTGTTCTTCTCACATCCATAACTCCAACTCTTTTATCATGGCAGACAATCAGATTAATTAGACATGATTTACTCTTGGTGAATCAATGCTGACTGTCCCTAGTCACCTGCCTCTGCTTCGTGTACCCAGAGACATTCTCCAAGAAGACTTGCTCCTGGGGAATTGTCAGTTTATGTCTTTTTCATTTAAGGACTTTCTAACTGATCACAAATTTAACATACTCTGAAGAACTCATAAGGATTTATGTTTTGACTCAGCAATATTATTTGATACATCTGGATTTGAAAGGTTTAAAATACCAACCAATACAAAGGAAGTGCCTTACTCCCTTCTGACAGTAGCCACACAATTCTGTCACTAGCACCTTACATTTCTAGAGTTGGGTACTCAACTGCACTGACAAAATTTCTTCTGCCAAACATGACTGCACAAATAAATAGCAATATATATATATATATATATATATCTCCAGGCTAGGCTTCAAAAGCAAAGTTTTTTCGGATTCTTAACTGTCATCTGCAAATACAGTACTATTCTTACCTTATAGCTTTCAGCTCCTTGAATGACATCTTTCATTGAAGCAGACAACTGATCTTTTTCTGATCGAGCCAACTCCAATTCCTCCCTCAGAGTTTGCATCTTATTAAAAAGAAACGTGTGTCATTAAAACCGAACCCCACATGCAGAATGTTCTTCATATGAAGAAGCAGTCAGGGTACCTCTTTTCGGCTGGCATCTAATTCTTTCTTTGCTTTCACAGCAACAACCTTAATTTTATTTAGCTTCTCTCCTTTTTCTGCAGATTCTTTTTCCAGCCTTCCTAAAATAAATAAATGAGAAAGTGAAAAATATGCCTCATCTCTCCTCTCCCCCAAGAACTGAAATGAAATTCAATTAGAACACAAATACCAGCATGACATGAAAATAAAACAAAACATAAAGCAGGAGGAGATGTTTAGATATTTCATTCAGTTAAGCATTTAAATGTAATTTTAAGCCGAAACATCCAGCCGCACAGACAGCTTGGGGACAATCTTTCCCTGTTTCAGAGGCTTCCATCACAGTTAATCTTAAGAGCCATATTACTGTCTACTCTACATACAGTTGTAACAACTTGGAACCATTTTCTTTCTAATGTGTTGGGATAACTGCAATGAGGCAGCAGTAGTTTTGGCAAAGATTGCTTTCCTCTCTTCTTGCCAGCCTTAGGGATTTTTATTGACACAATTATTTTCCATATTTAAAAATTAAAATTCACTACACTGTTTATAGCCATATGCACACAGGAAGAAAAAACCTTAAGAAATATAAACTTTAAGATAGCTAACAATATTTTAAATCCTTATTGGAAGAAATATTGTAGGAAGTTGCATTGATATCTACTTCTCACTTCTTTGGCTGTAGGAAATACAGGACAATTATGCAGAGAAACAAAAACTAACAATCCAAAACTCTGAACTGTTTACATGAAAGAGAACAGTGAGAAAGATACCAATTTTTTCCTGAAGCTCTGTTACTGAAGACTGTTGATCAGTTTTCTCAGTCATTGTCTCCACTGAATTCTGTATTACAAACAAAGATATGAGAAATATTACAAAAATGTCTTTGTGATGTTTTTACCCTAAAAAGCCACCAGAAGTTTCAGCTACAGCTGGACTATGTCTACATTCTTACTACCAAGAAAGTGTTTATGTGCAATTTCGTATCAGCTTTGTAACTGAAAAGCATACTTATGATGAAAGGAAAACATTCCAACCTTTTAACAGCTGCTTTCCATCCTGTCCGAGGACAAAAAAAAAACAAAAAAAAGGGAGACCATTAATTCTGCAGCTGTCAGTTCTACATAATCATCAATTCCCAGGACCTGAAGTTAGGAGTAGATAATGCCGATCAAGCAGGAGTTTTGTTTGAGATGGAACCATAGAAAGTTAGAGGTTAAAGATTATGAGATCGGTTAGTCCATCTAGTTAAATGATCACTGAGGGGCATTGATAGGATGAGAGGTTCAAGTACAAGCACCTTTTGTCAAAAGATCATTATGACTGGTTTGGTTTTGTTGTTTTTTCCTGGGGGAAAGGAAGAGATTTTGAGGTGCTAGGAAACTCAGAAACGCACTATATTTATAGAAGAGAAACTCACTTTCAGGCCAAGGGAAGAAAAAAGAAAAAGAAGGAAAAAAAGAATTGAAAGTATTTTTTGAACCTTAATTCTGAAGACTTTAGAGGTTTAGTCTGTATACTTCAATAACAAAATATAACCTTTAGAGAATTCAGTTCGGCTTTCACATTTCTAAGTTCAGTTTCCTTTTGTTCCAGAATGAAATTTAAGTCGTCTTGTTTTTCTGATCTTTTTTGCTGTTCTTGTATTTGATTTTCATAAAAAGCAAGTTTTTGAGTAAGCTCTTCAGTATTAGCTAAAAGATCTCGATTTTCAATCCTTGTTTTTTCACTGGCATTCTTCAGCTCCTGGAGATCACATTGAAGTGCTTCTTTTTCAGACAACACTTCTTCCAATTCTTCTTTCAAGAGTTCCTTTTCTCTTTCAACATCCTGAATCAGGGATCTATGTTCTGTATATTGAGCTGCATTTTCTTCCTCTAGCCTTGAAACTTCCCGCTGCAAATGAAGAACTTCCTCCTCCTTTTGTAGAGCAAGGCACTGCTGCTCTGTTATTTTGGACATATATTCATTTGCAATTTCTAACAAGTTAAGAGAATCACACTCTTCACTGTAACCTGAAATACTGGACCCTACTTGCTCAAGTAAGTGGTACAGCTGAGATCTTACAAGGGATCTGTGCTCTTGTTCACTTTCAAGTAATGTTGATATATGGTCTTTTTCTGCAGTCATCATTTGTAGTTTCTTTTCCAAGTTTTCAGACTGCTCTTTCAACACCAACCAACCATCTTTTTCAGAGGTAATCTTTTCCAGCTCTTCACTTAATTTGCCTTTTTCCTCAATTATTTTCTTGTTTTCCTCATGAAGAGTATATGCTTCAGACGAAAGGCTCTCTCTTTCACGCACCAGAGATTCAATCTGGTTTTCCAGTTGCTCTAGCGTTTGAGCATTTTCATTCTTCCTAGTTAAAGCTTCGTTCAGTCTCTCTGTTAATTCTTCCACCTTTTTCTTCAGGTCACTATTGTACTGGTTAGCAACATCTATTTCTTGCTGAAGTTCCTGAATTTTTTCTTGTTCTTGCTTGTACCTTTCCTGAAGGGTTTCTCTCTCTTCACCCAAGCATTTTACTTCATTTAAAATATTCTTGTTTTGATCAGTAAGAGAAAATATCTTCTCTTCCAGTTCTTTTATAGCAGTCTCTTTTTGGTTGATGAAGCTTGTTATTGTGTTATTCTCCTCCTGTAGACTAAGAATTTTACATTTAAGCTCTTCTAGCTCTGGCTGATTAGATGACAACTTTTCTATTTCTTCCCGGAGGCAATTGACAGTTTCAAGAAGAACATCCTTTTCATTGAAAGCAGCCCGGAGTTTCTGTTGCAGTTCACTGACATCAGAAGCTTGCTGTTGTCTCATTGATTCAAACTCCTGGCTGATCTTTCCAGCAGATTCCCCTAGCTCAGCCTGTAGAGTTTCCATTGTTTCTCTCAGGCTGTTGTAACTGGACACTGCTTCTTCCTTCTCCTGACTTAGCTTTTCAAGTTGGTCTCTAAGTTCCTGCATTTCAAAAACTAATGCCATCTTTTCTTTTTCAGAAGCAGATAATAAAGATTCACTTAGTTCAGAAATTTCTCTCTTATGTTGCTCTTTCAGAGTCTGAGTCTCTAACTTATGCTCTTTTACAGCAGTTTCACAGTGCTGTCTTGCTGCCTGAAGCTCCAATTTTAGTTTTTCAATTGCACAACAGTAGTCTTCTTTAGTAAGCTGCAATTCATTTATCTTAAAGTCCAAGTCTTCCCTCTCACGAAAGTACTCATCCTTTATGTGATGGATTTCCTCTTCCAGTTTTAGTTTAACATTACTCATGTAAGTTAACTCATCTTCTAATATACTATGTTGGGACCGGAGCTCTTCCAAACTATGCTCCAGCTGCCTAACCTTTTCTTCCATTGTCGCTTCTACACAAGGTTCTTCTCGTGTATCTACAATGCCTACTTTATTTTCTACATTTTTATTTAAGACTTCTCTCAGCTGCTCCAAATCATATTCATGCTGGTCAGTACAAGCACATTTTTCATCCTTTGCATTTTTCTCTTTCATTAAGCCCTCCTCTGCCAAACTCTGCTGTAACTGATTTATCTGATTTTGCTTTTCTTCATTTTCTTTAGATGCTATTTCAATCTGATGCATCAACGTTGACACTTCTTCCTGATGGACAATTTTTAGTTTCTTAAGTTCTTCATTCAGATTTTTTATTTCATTATGGTAACACTCAGAGTTGCTTTTCAAAGTTTCTAGCAGATTTGTCACTTCTTTGTTTTTGTCTTCATTCACAGTTTCCAGCTGCTTGCTGAGACAAAAAATTTGCTCCTCGTAAGTAGATTTAATTCTTTGGACATCATCTTGTAATCTTTTAACTTCTTTTTGACTATCGCTAAGACATTCAATATGTTCCATCAGCCCCACTTGTTTCTTCACTTGTTCTTCTAATTCCATTTTCAGCTTTGCTACATCTTCATTGTGTTTACATTGGGCATTTGCTAATTCCCTCTTCAGAGCTTCTATTTCTTCCAGAGAGTCAGTACTTGATTGCTCCAGTTGCTTCTGCAATTCTTCTGTCTCAGCCACTGCAGCCTAAACAAACAGGCAAGTTATTAAATACTGGCAATTTTGCACACAGAATAAGAGTCCTTAGTTTTACAAATTGCTGTAGTTTTCAAATACCTAAATACATTAGCACAACTCAAGTCAGAAGACACTGCAGAGACTACAAAAATGAATGAGAACGTAGAATGAGAAAGGAAAACTAAGTCTTAAATCATGTTTACCAGCATAATTTCACAAAATGGTCATGATAGACTTCAGCTTTAGTAACTATTCTGATAATGCATTAAAGACCAAATTGCTTTTAGAGCACCAGGTTCAAGTATCTGGAATATAACAATGTTCATCAATTGCAAGCAATTCACTCTTCATTATCAATTGAGATTACTGACATAATATAGATGCTTCGGCTGACAGGTTCCTTCCTGTGAGTACCTGAATGTAGACCTCATATTTCCCATGGAAAGACAGATCTGATTGATTGAAGCTGTCCTATATGTAAGCAACTAATTCCTAGACTGAATTCTTTTTGAACAGCTGTAGATCTAGCTGCTGCATATAAAAATTTTAATATTTATTGTAATTCCTTTAAAAGCTATAAATTAAGAAATTTAGAAGATGGGCTTTAACATACGAAGCCCTCAGATTTTATTTTTTTTTTTGAGGTAAAACAGGTAAGTGAAGAAAAAGATTAAAATGAAACACACAACAAGCAAAACTAGACAGTAAAAATAAACATAATTCTGAAATATTTTAGTAATGTTCTATTGCTCATTTCAGTACCTCTGCTTCTTTCTTTCTTTGAACATTTTCTTTTTTCAGAGCTATGCACTGCTGCTCAGTTTCAGCTTTTTCCAGAAGTACAACATCCAGTCTTTCTGTGAGAGCCTAATTTTAAGGGAGAAAGATCACTTAAAGAATTCTTAACATTGGAAGCTTGATAAATTTTTGCAAACTGCAGGAACTCGCATATGTTTAAATGACTTTGTCAATTAAAAGAATGACTCTGATTTTAAAAATTACTTTCAGCCCGAATAGAACAGATGTGGTATAGTTAGACTAAAACAACGATGCTGAATAACAGTTTCTGTTCAAAATCATATTTCTGATCAGCTAATATTTTAGCACCAGGTGGTGGTGGGAGCTCCCCTTCTGTAGAAAAGAAATCTCCATCCAAATTATTAAAAACAATTTTCCAGTTTATAAATTCCTCCTCACTACCAATTTTTGCTTTCATATGCTGCCTATGACCCTTACTTTGAGAAAGACAGATGTTCTTGCCACTTAAAAATTCCTGTTACTTTTCTCAAAGTATTTCTTGAGACATGCAACTTTAATTACAGGTTTCTCATCTCATCAAATGACTGTCTCAGAAGTTTTCTAAATGGCTGAAGTCTTTCCACAGTGGACATTCCAAAATAAACAAAAGCCTGTCTAACCAGCTACACAAGGAAAAAGTCTTGCTGAGGAAGTTGTACAATTCTGTACTATTCCTCACAAAATTGTTTTCTGAAAAGTGGAGGGAGGATGTGGAAGGGGGAGGAAAAAAGAGGGTTTAGGAAGAGTCCTGAATTCTCAAAAAATTATTACATTCAACTGGAATAACAGTTTTAAAGCTATTTACCGAATTATTTCTGTATATTTACTTCAGCTAACATTATGTAATATATTAGAAATCCATTATGCATTCCTACCTGAATAATATCATCAGCTCCTCCAGTAGTTGCTTTAGATTTGAGCTCTTCAATCTCTTTCTCTAGTTCTTAAAAAAAAACAAACAAAAAAAAGTATAGAAATTTCACAGCATGAATCAATGCTCCTTCACAGTAGGAAATTAAATGTAAATCCAGTGCCTAACGATGCTTCTATGCATATCAGAAATGTCTTTAACTTCATCAATTTTTGGTTTTTTACTGAGTGATAGAAGGGGCTAACAGAAATAGACTACTGCTTCTCAGGTCTTGACATTTAGCATGATTTCCTAAGGAAGCAAACTTCCTTGTTTGGGTAGAGGGACAACAGATAGAAATCCTTATGATGATGACCTTACTTTCTATTTCATGATCAATTTAAACTAGAGAAAAGATATTCAGTTCCTACTGGTTCTCTAAAAATAGGCAGCAGGCAGAAGAACAAGACCTTATAAATAACCCCACTGAGGAAGAGTCTAGTATAGCCCAACCTATCCTTACTGTTTCACTGGGGAATTACCAGCAGTCAGTGTAACAGTAACTCCAAACAAGGGGAAGTGACACCAGTCCGAATAGTGGGCCACCAGACAAAAAGGGACAGCAGAAAGGAAGAGAACAGCACATGAGAGCACAGATTTACACAGGATAGTTTTAGTTGGTTAACAAAAAATTTTGTTTGATACTTTTACAACTTCTTGTTAAAGAAGCAAATGATCAAATATAAAGTAGCTAACCATTTTGAAGAAGCCATTGTACTCTACAACAGTACAAATGCAAAAATCTGTCAGAGACATTCCCCCTCTCATCTGCTTCCAGAAAAGCAACAGGTATCCCTGCAACTGATATTGGGGAACAGACAATGACAAGTTCCATTTTGACTCTTGTGCAAACTACATTGTTCCATCATGCCACACTGCCAGATTAGAATTAATCTAATACTTGACAGAAGCAATGCTTCTTTTTCTTCCCTTCCTTGCTTAAAGGACTTCAGTCCTTGCCGTCCCAAAAAAATAAAAAAAAAATAAAAATAAATGAGACTAGCATTTAAGTCGAGCTAGAAAAAGTATGCAGTGATATTAGAAAAGCTCTGATATTATCAAGCATTAAGGCAGAAACTGTTCTCTTTCTATTAAGGTACCTGTACATCTTGACTTCACTTTCTGTATAAGCATCACTTGCTTTTTTGCAAACTTGATGAGATCTTCTTTGGGTAACGTGTCCAGCTGTAAAAAAAGTATGTATTAGAGAAACCAGCTTCCTCTAACCTACAGATAAACAGAAAGCAGGGCATTTTAGCATTCAGCTCCAAGAAGCTAAATTTTAGGACAAGAAACTGTCTTACCACACATTTGAAAGAACAGTAACAGTCAAAGTTACTGCTGTTCTGTTATCAAATTTTGTTATTTCAAGAGCAGTAACAGAAACTACCCCTAATTCTGTACTTTTCAAAAATCATTCTAGAGCACAGAACTGGGCAGCATGAGTTAGACGGGAAAAGTCACTTGGGAATGGTTACAATTCAGTAATAAAATTTAAACAATGTTTTGAAAATAGCATGCTGACCTAACATTGACATTGTGCACATTATGAAACAGACTGCTGCCAAAACTGGATGCTACTGATATTTTATCAAATATTATAACAGGAAGTGAACATATCAGTAAGAAAATTTTTTTCCCCCATATTTTTCAAAACACCTTAGCCCAGTGTTTATAAATCAGTTTTTCAAGAAGTCTAGAAGACAGGAAACTGTTTAAAAATACCTTTATGTCTTCCTATTAGTCACAGCTTGCATGCTAAGTTGTAACCCTTTCAACTACTGCTATCCAAATAAATTAGATTCGTGAGGACTGAATACCTTTGATTTGCCTGAGCCGGGTGTGACAGAAGACGCCACCATCTCTTGCCCAGCATCTTGAACCTACAACAAATTAAAGCACAATATTCGATAACTGAACTTTTTAATGTAAGACTACTGAAAGAACTGAAAGTTGCAAACACCGAGAATAACCGAATATACTGAAAGCCCAAAAAAATATATTTGTAGGACTAGCCAGAAAGATAATATATAAAAAAAAAATCTGATAGACATATGTCGTTATTAGTACAACAGCAGAACAGAAAACTCCTGATTTCCTAAGCGGTATGATCTGATCTTAAGATTCCATTACCAAACTGACATCTAGAGTTGAGACATTACTGAAAAATCATTTTATTTACAAGAGGTTACAGAGGCGTGACTACCTAGTTCTTAAAAGACTCATTAAAAAAAGGCATGAATGGAAAAACCATGTAGAGGAGCAGCAGTTAAATCAAACTTTGGGAACCTCTGAGCCACATATACCCCTCAACTTTTTTTTTTCTTTCTTAAACACGCATTACTCTAGTTATCACTAAAAGTGTTAGCCTAAAGAATATAACTGAAAAGACTCTGCAAAGCCCGGGCTCTTTTTAACAAAATATAACACAACTCTCCCACACACACTAATTTCCTTAGAAAACCACACTGGTTAGCACTAGAAGTCCTGGCCTGACACGTATTTGAAAAGGCTCTATAAATTGTGGGCTCCCTATTCCTAACATACATGCATAATGCATTCTACTGTAAACTTCCACAGATGTAATCTGAGAGACTATGTTACTTTACAGTGGTTTATACTAGATATGCTTACCTATACTCGGAACATTAAGAAAGACATGTAACAGAGATGGGGCAAAGGAAAATGGAACAGACACTTCCAATATATTAAGGGTAGCATTTCCAAGCTCTGACCTTTACAATGCTTTTTCCTTCCTACTATCCTATACGTGTATGTCTGAATAAAAGTGAAGGGGTGTATATATAATTATTTGTGGGTTTAAATAGCTAGGTGTTTGCATTTATATAGCTAGGTAGGTATACACATACATATACATACCTTCGATTTATTTGGCTACTCTCTTTATTCTGACAAAAACCCACCTTATAATAGAAACTAAGGAAAACTGAAACCGGATCTATATACTGCTAGAATGGAGAATCACTAACAACTTGGAGAGAACAGATGATACAGATAATAAGAAAGGTCACCAGAAATATGAGTTCAGGTACAGACCAAGACAGTTATCTCTCTCTGTATCACATTGGCTTGAGATGGATTTTCTTTTGAGATGGCAAAAGGAAGCTTATTAGAAAATAATGTGCCTGTTAAACATAACTACTGCATTAAAAAAAAAACCAACTATATAACTTAAGTTTCAGATTTCCTTGGTATGAAAAACTTTGTCAATATTCACATTCTTAATATTTCAGCACTGCAGCTAGTTAAACAGTCCTACAAGCAGTATGCTTCCACAGTATAATTAAGTATAACAAATTTTACGTACTGTTTAGAAAATGATAGCATGTTTCTTCATGCTACAGTGAGGTCCCATGAATCTACACATTACTTTTACTCTTCTTTAAGCTAATACATAGAGGGGCAGAACTATGTACCGTGTAAGACGATACATAGACGATACATCCAGTTTTGCTGTTCTGGTAAGATAAACGATAAGAAGCTCATAGAATGTAGAGGGTTTCACTCATTTGAACTGGAACAACAACGAGGAAGATGAGCTACTAAAACCCTCTAAAATATTCATTGATTAGGTGCATCTGAGATGTGATGCAGCATGTAGTAAGCACAATTCTAAGCACACTGAATCCTGCAAGGATTCTCAAGTTTTTATTCAACCATTCTGAAAGCAGGGCATGCTCCCATGCTTTACCAATACACACACATATTTCATTCAAAATCTACTTTATCTACGCTAAGGTGTTTAAGGAAGAAGTTCTTTACAGTGAGGGTGGTGAGGCACTGGAATAGGTTGCCCAAGGAAGTTGTGAATGCTCCACTCCTGGCAGTGTTCAAGACCAGGTTGGACAGAGCCTTGGGCGACATGGTCTAGTGTGGGGCATCCTGGACCATGGCAGGGAGGCTGGAACTAGATGATCTTTAAGGTCCTTTCCAACCCAAACCATTCTATAAGTCTGCGTACTTTAATTGCTATCCGCCCTTTACTTTTGCAATAGCTTAACATACTCCTAGAAAGCCTGACATATAAATGCAATATATTAGACTGATGCAAACTGAGGCAGCAATGACCATTATGAACAGTGACTTTCTGAGCAGCATGCAACTTTTAGACACCACCAACTCTAATCATACCAAGTCACATCAAAACACCTTTTGAGTTGTTATTACTTTAGCAGGCGGAGGCATTAAACCTCTATTAGAATGCGTGCAGCTCAGAAACCGCCATGGAATCACAGAATGGTTTGGGTTCGAAGGCACCTTTAAGCTCATCTAGTTCCAACCC